AAGCCACAACCCTACACAAATCCGTGGCGGCGCTGTGGAGGGGCACACGTGTGTGTTGCTTTGGTTTTCTTCGTGTTCGTTGAGTGTTTTAGGAAACACTGTGGAAGCGGCCACCGGCGCGATTTGGTGGCCACGGACGGGGGCTGCCCCACGGTGAGACCCTCTGGAGGGAGGACTGGAGCCCGGGAGACAGCACAGGGTCCTGGCTCCCAGCCCCCCTCCTGCCAGAGGCGCCATGCTGGGCCCCGGGGGGAGATGTGGCAGGGCAGGCGGGTGATGCCTCGCGATGATGTCATGGGGCGGGGTGGTGACCTGCAGGGTGATGTCATAGGACGTCATGCCACGGCAGGTCCCAGGGTGGCGTGGCACAATGTGACGTCATAGCACAATGCAGTCAGAGAGGTGACATCACAAATCATAGCGCTGGATGGCGTCGCAAGACAATGGAGAGCGATGACGTCATAGTGCACCCATTATGTAGCATATTATGACGGAATCCCCGCCCCGCCGGCCAGCGACACACTCCCCACTCGCTGATTGGTGGGAATCTGGCGATGGCATTTCGGGATTGGCAGGGTGAGTCTCTAGTCCCGCCCCCCTCCGCTAGCTGCTGGGGGCTGAGGGGGGAGGAGTGGCGGGGTGGGGTGCTGGGAGCCAGGACTCCTGTTTTCTCCCCGGCTCTGGGAGGGGAGTGATGTCTAGTGGTTGGAGCCAGGGTTGTGTCTCTACTTCAGGTGCCTTTGCTGCTGCAGGTGCTGCCTGGGATGCAGAGATGGCCACGGGCGAGCCCGGCTCACCGACGTGGGAAGGGATGGCGCTGCCCCAAGAGCAGGCTGAGCCGTGCCCCACAGACACAGGTGAGTCTCCGCCCGGGGGCAGGAGGGTGTGGGGTTGCCCCCCATCCTGTGGCCAGGAGCCTGGCACAGAGAGTACCTCAAATGAGAGACACAGGGGGCAAGGACTCCTGGGTTCTCTCCCCAGCTCAGGGTGGGGAGTGGGGTCTGGGAGCCAGGACTCCTAAGCTGTCTCCCCACTTCCAGGAGGAGTGTGGGAGCCTAGTGGTTAGAGCAGAGGGGGCTGGGAGCCAGGATGCTTGGCTTCTCTCTCCAGATCCAGGAGGACCATGGGAGCCTAGTGGTTAGAGCAGGGGGGGACTGGGAGCTAGGATGCCGGGGTACCCTCCCCAGATCCAAGAGGAGAGCAGGGTCTAGGGCCCCCAGGATGTCTGGCTTCTCTGCTGTCGTGGCAGCTTTCTTCTTTGCCCCCAGGTGGGGAGGGGCCCGGTGCCGGCCGGGAGGAGCAGGAGGGGCTGCCTGCCCCACAGAGCCATGGGCCCCTGAGAGCGGCTGGAGGCCCGGGGGGCGTCCCGGGGGGGCCCGCAG